CGGGTACCCGTTTGCGACCCTGGTGCGGCCGGGTACGGGCACGGGTAAGGAATCAAAACCCGTTTGCGACCTCTGGTAGTTAGCCTGGTGATCCACCACCATAGGTTGTTATCTGGTGAAGGGGCAGTTACCCCTTTGTGTTGGAATGAAGAAATGTGTTGCCTTCAAAGAGTGTGTCTGCGACTCAGTTGAACTCACTACAAATGTATGCTGAGATCTGGCCATTACGGGGTGGTCACTTGCCAGAAGGAGTCATGGAAAAAGAGAAATGTAACCCGTCGTATAGCAGGCTGCTCTTTGTATGCCGTTTCCAGGATGAAATTGAAAATGTGAACACAGGCACAGCTGCACGTTCTGGAAAATTAATTTAAATGAACTGGTAGGGAAAAATAATCACGGCGCTTCTCTGTTTCACAGGTAATTATCCCTGCATAAAAAGGTAAAGGTGAATTCCTGCAATTCCTTGCTCATGACACTGCTGGCAAATGCCGCCTCCGCTCTGGACAATGCCAATAAAAAAAACTGTAAATTATATTTAAAAAAAAGGAATTTTACCAGTAAGGCCCACTAAGTGAAATAGCTCTCTTTCAGAAGCAACCTGCCACAAATGATAGCCCTCTTCCAAGATGTCTGGTGACTGGACATTTGTGAAAAATAACTTCATAGCTCATCAGATTCCTCCCCTATACCGTAATACATTGGATTGCGAGTAACTTGGTCTGCGAGTGTTTTGCAAGACGAGCAAATTTTTTAAATAAATAATTTGATAAACAGCGAGGTCTTGCAATACGAGTAGTACGTGTATACGCTTTGTCTGCCGAACGTAACGTGATCACAACTGATATTCGAGTGCTTTGATATACAAGTGCTTTGGATTACAAACACGTTTCCGGAACGAATTATGCTCGCAATCCAAGGTTTATGCTATAAATGAATATACTGATTCTGAAGTGGCTTATCATCATGTGAAAATGTATAGCAACCAAAAACTCAAAATGCATGTTGATTCAAAGTGTGGAGGGAAAACCGGAGGAACACAAGAAAAAATACACACAACCCACGACCTCTTGTATACGAGGCGAGAGAGTTAACATTTCGCCAACGCATCAAACCCATTTATACTGCTGCTGGGTGGACAGAAGTTGTTGGGGAGGGGGGGGGGGGTTAAGAATCTTACAGCGTTGTTACGATCGCTGTGATGGGAGAACAAATTGAACTGGCGTTACCCTCTGGGTCTCAAGTGCAGGAGAGTGCTAACAGCATCCATGTGGCCGCTAAAGCTTGTTATGGGTCAACTAAGCAAGAGGCCAAACCCAAGACCAAAGCAGCGAGTCCGGTATATGAACAAATAAAGAAAGCTCCTGAATTATTTTTAAATCTACAAAGAACCAATAAATACGCTCTACCTCCCTGGACACTCTGTGTGTTTTGAAGAAAGGCCAGTGGCCCTAAACATCACCTATTATATAATTTTGCCTTTTAAGGCAGTGTGAGTGAGGAATGTGTTGAGTTTCTTTCATTATATATGCATGTGTGTGTGCGGGTGGGGATAACGGTAGTGCAGTGGTTAGCGCGCTGCGCTGAGAACCTGGCGACCCAAGTTCGATTTCCGCTCACGGTGTTATCTGAACCGGTCCTGGGCCCCCTCCTATGTCGACTCAGCCTCAAATTATTACCTGGTGCGGCATGTAACCATCACCACTTGGGAGACATAGGTGGCTGGGCGTGGTGCTGGCCACCCACTCCAATCGTGTGTCGCGCCGACCTTCATAGATGCTCGCTAACACCACTTGCCCCGACAGCCTGCAAAGGCCACACGGGGCATCTTTGTCTTCTTTGTGTGTGCATGTACGTACTTGGTCGGATTCAAGCGTGTACTTTACAGTGGGAGCAAAGTCCAGGTTGTGATGAACTGAGCCAAGGGAGAAAAATCTCTGGCAACTCGCGGGTTTCCATGAAGCAAATTTAATTGGACTCGTTGACTCACTGCAATTAAGGCGCAGCTGTGGCATGTCGGGGTCTATGCTCTGTCAACAGTAGGCCCAGAGTACATCATCACGCTGTAGAGTAAGTTTTCCTTTGCGTTCTGTTTTGCAGTCATAATGCAATAATGTGATAATAATGTCAGTAACCAGGGCAAAACACTCCGTTTGGTTTTTCCCCAATCACAATATTTATCTAGATGTACTATTTCAAATAAGGAATTTATTTGGTACAAAAAAAATTACGATGATAGGAATAGAATGCTTGGGGTGAAATGGGTCCATCAATTCAACAACCTATTTCGATTCTCAACCATGCTGATATAAGGCATCGAACCGCATGTGTAAGCACCATTGATCCGTATACGTTGCATGACGGGGGCGCTGTGGATGTGTAACGGTTGGCGCCGATTCTGGATTTGCAATTAAGAGGTCACCGCACGGCTGTCGAAAAGATCGTGGGGTTTTTTTTTTTACTCCCCCCAACAGCCACGCACCTCTGTCCACCCCAGCAGTATAAATGAGTTACACCACAATTAAGTCCATTGGCAGGTCACGTGTGGTGGTTAAAAGTGTGGATTACTCCCACCTCTTCCAAGAGGTCTGGCCAGTGTGGAAGACTAGGCCAAGATACCCTCCCATCAGGGCTCTATACAGATATTTTTAGAGGAGGCCGATCGGCCAGCGGTGGCATGAGCACAGAACTGCAGGGCTTGCACCTTTACCAGTGCGGGTGACATGCGTGCATGTCAACCCCCCCCCCCCCGCCCTCATTCCGCCGCAACCCTAAGAGGTGCTAACATTCATCGCAATATTCTTGGTTCTTTCGGTAAAGTCACGTAGAAGGGAAATAATAAAATAATAAAAATAAAAGCTAAAAAATTCTCACGACGTTTCGATTGCAACACAAGCAATCATCATCAGAAATTGATTTTCTTGCTGTGGTTTTCACACCTGACGATGACTGCTTGTGTTGCAATCGAAACGTCGTGATAATTTTATTGTTGTATTTTTATTATTTTATTATATCCCTTCTACGTGACTTTACCGAAAGAACCAAGAATATGAATCCCTGCAGTCACGAAAGCTTTAAATTGAAATTCATTGCAATGTTCAGAATAAAAATGATCGAATCCTTGATTCAAATCGTGATCCACGCCCCGCCCCACTTGTGAGAATGTATCCAGTCGCTGATTTGAACTTTTCCAGTCACAGTAGAATGTCAACGTTGACTAATGTTATTTTGGCAACAAAGCTGACAATAATAGCCGAGTACGTAAATTATTGGGTAAAAGACTGCTTTTACATTTAAACTTTGGCAAAAGCGGTCTGCTTATGAAAGTTGTGCATTAAACTGGCTTCTGCACAGACAGGTCAAGATGGAAAAGTCTGGACCGAAACACATGGCAAGCCTTAGTCCAGCAAAGAACACACATTTTCCTATCACAAGGAAAACCTTAGTTTGTTTTGAAATTTAAATATTAAACATAGACAACTGCTGGATAGTAGCGTCAACAACAATGTGTTTATATATTTTGAAAATCCTCACCGAATCTTTTTGTAACCATTGGAATTGGATTGTGATTTACAGTCAATTCCATTTAAAATCAGATTTTTCACAGAGGCCATGAAAGTTGTTTCAGGATTTAATTTGTGTGCATTCCAGCTGTGTGTGCCACCATGCCCAGCACGATTCGACACATATGGAGTAGCCTAAGAATCTATTCTTCCTTTTCCCTCTATTTCTCAATCTTTGTGTAGCCAATTATATCCCGATTGTGCTACCACGGTGTCATCTCACGGGATGAAGAATCGATTTCAAACGCTCATCGAGTAGAGCAAGCACAATGCAATAAGAACAGAAGTCATTTTGAAATCCCTTCAAGCTACCTCTCATCCGATCACTTTCCCACCTGCCCAGCCACATGGTAATGTTTGTTAGTGATCATTCTCCGAACTGGCAGTTAAAACTAATTTCTTTAGCGCTGCTTTTGTGTTTAGTTTGTTGACCTTCCCCCACACCTCCAATTAGCACGGTTGGCTACGTACGGTGCGAAAGAAGTTCTTATATACATGCATAAAAAGTGATGGGGGTTTTTTTGTCAAGAGTGATTGTGACTGGGCAGTGGAGATCACCCACTCTATACGCTTGAGAACCCAGTTAAATCACGGGTGGCCGAAACTCGGATTCGAACCGAGCTCGAAGCTGTACCAGCACCGATGAATCGCTGTGCGTGCATTCTGCCTCCCGCCAGACGAGACGACGCATGCACGTACGATGAACGTCTTTCGCACCGTGCTTAGAAAACCGCGCTAATCGAGGCTCGGACCTCTTCCATCCCCCTCGGCATAAAATCGGACACAACCCTTGACAAAGCCCCTCAGCGGTGAACGGTTCGAAAGCAGCGCACTGAATTACCACCCAAGAGCAATTAAGCCGCAGCCTCCCATTGAACCCATTCACTTAAGGGGACCCAGGATAAAAAATATATATATTAAGCCACCGTTGTTTGGCATGGATTCGTGGCAGTTAAACATTCGCCGGCTGAGGCTCAAAATGTGAGTGCATTCGCTCTGCCCCCTTATGTCTGTCTGTAACCTGGAGGAGGGGGGAGGGGTGGGTGAGCAGGGCGTCACAGTAACTGTCGTGAAAATTACCAATATCAACCAAAGGCGAGTGCCAGTAGCGTTGCTGTTGGGGGACTCGCACCACAGAAACCGGCCTCATTCATGACAGTATCGCCAAATGCAGAAGACAATGCACAAAAAGGCCACAACAGAGCGGTTCGACCATGCCGACCATGGCGCTGAATGTTATCACGTGTGACGTCACTCCACCGTGCGAATTAAAATCGAAACATCACCATCTGGAAATTGAAATAACCCCGAGGGCGAACAGCATTCTACAAAGTCGGTTTACGGAATCCACGCGTAGGAATTATTTTTATTCCCCCGTCGTAATCTAAGATTATCCGGGGGAGGGGGATTTTTCTTCTTTCCGTACCTCGTCTTGATCCATCACGGCGAACACGATGGTGGATATGCTCTCTCCGTGGTTTTTCCCAAAAACCGGCGGACGGTTCCTGGTTAGAGCAGGGGGGTGGAGAGGAGGTGGGGGGGGGGGTGGCGTGACGATGAGACACAGGCACATACAGAGATTACGGATCCTGTCCCTAGCGCGAATGACCGATGGGTGGGGTCAAGGGGCAGGCAAAGCCACCACCTCCACCCGGCGATTGCGCACAGCGACTAAAAAATGGGTTAACGGCATGGGCCCTGAAACTGCACGCTCGTGCCTCCACTCGGGGACGCTCGGAAACACACTCGAGGAATCTTCGTCCTGCATAAAAAGAGCGTTGTAAGGAACAACGCTATGAGAGGAACGCCTGTACGCATTACTTATTTATTTTCGTGACCTGCTTAGCTTTTCTATAGATTTTTTATAGAGTTTGTTGTTGTTGTAAATTGTTGACCCCGCCCATCTGTCTCTTTTTTACAGAATGCTCGTGCAATCCAAAAGTAGTAGAATTTTCACTGTAATTATCCATTTAACCAATTATCATCTTATTCCAGCTGTGAATCAGATACACAACTGCAACTTTCAAAACTGAATTCTACATCCAACTTTGGCAATGCAAAAAAAAATTACCCGCAAAACGGCTCCAACGGAGGTGTAATAAAATAATAACACAATGTAAAAAAAACATTGCAAGTGCTTTTGGAAACCATGAACATTAAAGAATATTAATGTTGAACGAGCATCAATGACCCACGCACTCTCCGAGGGCCCTACGGCTGGCTTGTCGCTTAAAACTTCACAGCAACGCACAGCGTCCAGCTATTCAAGTTGGCCATTTATCTGCCCATTTATTTACACAAAAATGAAATTCCCCAGACAGTGGTGTTTCTCACAACCGGCAAGACTCTACACGATGGAAGGAAGAGAGAGAGGGGGGGATTCGGCAAAAGCGGCGCAAATCTGGCCGCGCGCTTGGGAGCATTTGGCCGCCGGTCAGAGCGGAAATCAGTTTCTTATCCAGCGGCCTGTCAGGGCCCCCCCCGCCCTCCATCCCGGGCCACATGGAGGTCGGCTCTGCACGAGGCGCGGGCCATCGCGTCGGGAACGTCGGGAGCAACAGTCGGCCACCATCCCGGAGACGACGAGCCAGCGGCGCTTTCACGGCGGACGCCGGAGAGGCGACGAGGCCCCCCCCCCCCCCCCCCCCCCCGAAGCGTGCGCGTCCGGGGACTCTGGCGCTCACACCGCAAGATCCAATTATCATCAAAGCCATTAAGCGCCGGAAGAATCTCCGCAGGCCACATTACTCACCTGCTCAGGAAACTATGAGCGAGCGCGGCAGAGCTTTAGCAGTTTGGGGGGGCGAGTTTTGGGGGCTGGGGGGAGGGCTTGTACGATTAATATAGGGGGGGATGCAGTTAGCCCCCCCCGTTATGATGACGGTGCCAAGTCGGCGGGTGCGTTCATTTCAACAGAATGCGTGCGTCGGGCCGTAGCGCCGCGCTGTTCTGAACGACGTACGTTAGCACGGTTGGCTACGTACGGCGCGAAAGAAGTTTCCCAACACGCACACATATATCGGGCAGTAGTAAAGCAACGGGCTTCGGCAGGAAGAGTGAAGGTCTGATGGCCAGTGGTCGAGACTAACGGCAGGACAGTGTTTACATTGCTTCGTGAAGAACTCCTCCATGTCTCACTGCCCAACCTTCATTGGTCACGTGATGCCAAAATCCGTCTGACTTTTGCACGCGACCTGGACTCAGCGTGGTTACCGAATTTGTACGTAACGTAAAACCGCAACGCTTAATCTTTACACGTACTAAATCTTGACTTAAAGCTTTCGTGACCGCAGGAATTCATATCCTTTGGGTCTTACCGAAAGACCCAAAGAATATTTACACGTACTCTTAGTACAAACAGCATCGGCGGCTGTTAAAACTTACTCCACAGAAAACAGAACATACAGGGCCAGCGAGGATTTAAGAAAAAGTCTTCACGCGCGGTAAAAGTAGATCGCTTCATAGGATATGTGTTTTATCTTCAAAATGATATGATCTCCATCGGGTAAATGCGCCTTGCGAAGAAAAAGTTCTTGTTCATTTACCACTGTTGTGAAAGATGTACTAATGGCATGAAATATAAAGAGAGGTATGTAAGCTTGTGTAAATAAACATAAATAACCCGAGAACTGCAGCTCCATCTCTCAATCGGAACCAGCCCATCCGTCTCACTGAAACGTGCAAAATCACCGTAACTACGACCAAGGCTGTAAACAGTAAGTTAATCTGCTGGGACTTTTTATTTCATTACACTTTTGGCAGCAAACACGCTCGAGTGTGTAAGTCAATTTCCACTCGCATAACTCACACGCAAAAGTTGAACCATTCCGACGACCGCGATTCAACATGCACACGCAAAAAAATTAATGTTCCGATGGTTTCTGTTGGGACTGTTTATTGCATTACACCGGACACCTATAGTATCGAATTATATTTAAAGGTGCACGCTCCGTAAGTTGCTGCAGATGTGTCTGCCGAGCTGTCTGAAATAGTTATGTCGAAGAGAAACACGCAAGCGCGCGTGTTCTGAAAAAGTTTGGGTGGGCGGGAGGCACGGTGGATAGATGTTATCTGCCTCGCCTGGTATGCAGGAGGTCGGGGGTTTGATCCCGACCCCATGCCTGCTGCTGTATATTTGGAGTTTGCATTTTCTCTCCGTGGCCATGTGGATTTTGTCTCCGGGTACTCCAGTTTTTCCCTCCACATTCTGAATCAACGTCAAGCGTTCAGATTATTTTTCTGCTCTAAATTTCCAAGTGATAATCTCTTTGTGCAGGTCGCTTCCGAAAAAGAAGCTATTAGCTCAGTGGGCTTCATAAGGTGAGAAAAAAAAATAGAATTTTTAATTGTATATTTTTTCAAAGGGGATTTACTTACCTTTGCTATACTTTGCACTCCTATCGTGCTTTTGTATTATTTATCGTTGTAACGTTCTGACCTGCCACTACTGGAACTATGGGCGAAAAAGAGCTGCATAGCTCATCGGATTCCCCCAGTATAAATAAATATTCTGATTCTGGATAGCAGCAGAGCCACTCGCTCACACTCGGCCCTCGGCGCACGCAGATTTGTCTGCGTTCTCCGTGTGCACGCTGCTGCGATTTGCAACGGTCAGCGCACTGGACCAGCGGATCCGGAATGTCGCCGGTTCGACTGCTCGGCGCGGCAGTTTAAACGAACAGGGGGGAGCAAGTTTTTTAAATCTCCCCCACCGCTCCCTCCCCGGCTCTCTTGCTTTGTGGCACCCACTCGGGTGGGGCAGAGAGTCCAAATGTCCCCCCTTCGTGAAGCCCCTGGGCACGCTGACCTCGGGTTTTTGCTTGCAGGGTTTCTGTTCCCCCCCTCCTCGCCCTGCCCCCTGTGCTGTGATCGGTGCAAAAGTACCGGGCTCGCGTTGAATCGAAATTTAATAAAAAAATTAAACATCTTCCCCCACCGCCTCACCGTCCACCCAGAAGAATTACAAAACGGGTAAAACCACCCTTTAAACTGGTACAAAACTTTTATACAAGACACCTTTATACAAGGCATCATGTTTGCAATAACCACAACACAAGCAGTCAAAATGCAAACAAAAAGAAACAACTCTGATAATGATATGCACTGTCCTTGAAGTTGATTGGTCCACACCCGAGACAGCTTTTCTTAGAGCCTAGTCTCCATTGGTGTTGGACCAAAAGACACCAAAAGGCGTACAACTCAAAAACAGCGCACTATTGAGAGCTCGGGGTAAGCATTTACACTATTTTACACTATGAGACCTCATTTACCAGTGGCAAAATATGTATAAAGGTGTGTGTACCAGTTTAAAGGGTAAAAACCTACTACTATATTTTGGCACTGGTAAAGGAGGTCTCATAGGGTAACACCACAGTTCACCGATGGGGCAATTTGCATGTGTGGTGGGGTAAAGTGTGGGTACTTCAACCTCCTCCCAGATGTCAGGCCAGCGTGCAAAGCGAAGAACAAAAATACCCTCTGGACGGCCTCTCTACGAGAGAAGACATCTCCCGTGGTGGTCTCTCCGCCAGCGGTGGAGCGAACAAATAACTGCAGGGCTGCATCATTTACTTTACTCACGCCGGGCACGTCTGAGCATACAAATTAAATCCCCGTTCCATACGTACCCAGGGGATCGAGCGCCAAGCAACGTCAAGAGCCCTTACAGATCCTTTACAAACGATGTCTAACAACGGGGGCGCGTTTCCCTACGTTCCTATTGGGAATGTCGACGGCAAAAAACAACAACAACGCCGCGTTAGTACGGATCACGGAGGGGATGAAAGATGTTTGATGTTTTTGTTGTTGATCCGGTAGAATCAAAGGATCTCTGTATTCTCTAAGCACGCCGTCTCTGGGGCCAGATGTTACGGCCCTTATTAAAAATGAGCACCTCGGCACGCGAGCAATATGCTTCGTGAGCCTAGATAGGCAGGTAGTTGTGAACAGGCAGGCGTTGTTTCACAGAATCATAAATCTGAATATTTATTTATAATGGAGGAATCCACAAATGTCCAGTCGGGGCAGGTAAAAACGCTACAACAACAAACAGTACAAAAACATGATAGTGGTACAAAGTACAAGCAAGGTAAACAAAACGAAACCATCCCCATCTACATCTGCCCCTATAGACCGTGCGGAAGCTAACGAACCACGTGAAGCAGATTCAAGACCTGAGATCACGTGAGATAGAGTGGTAACTCAGACGCAGCTCCATGATATCCTTCGTGTCGTAAAGACACGGCGCCGATAGTGACATCGGGGATACAAGCAGTGGGGAGGGGGGGAGAAATCACGGAAAAAATGTTTCATAAGGCATTTCAAAAGCTGCTGTTGGAGCTCAGCGCGTCTGACAAGCCAATGTGGTGCGCTTATTCATATTCTCGGCAATGGCTTTAATGAAATTTATTTTACAAGGACGGGGAAAAAAAACACACACAATCGCCAGCACCATTAGCGCCGCCGTCAGACGAACTCTTCTGCCTGCCCACAGGGCTCTCTACCCCGAAGATGATGAATGCAGAAATAGGCCCAAAGATGTTAGCTTGCCTTCACCGCCGTCGCCATCAATCGTGATTACAGCTACAGTTTGGCACGGTAATTTTTTTTGTAAAATACACGGTTGAGGTGTGGGTTCAAAAAACAATAAATCGTGGAATAAAATCACGAAATAAGGTGCAGCAGTGGCATTTCGGAGAGAAGCAATTAATAAATAAGGATATTTAGGGGGTACGTGGTTTGATTAGAATAAGCACGATATGTTACAGCCCCCCAGACATACACATGCATACGCACGATCACACATGTATAAACAATGAGCAGACACACACACGGACCAAGGACAGCTACACACGAATGCGCACACACACGTACACAAAGACAATGTGGACAGACATAAAGACAAAGATTCCCCCTATAGCTTTAACAGACTATTCGTGCAAGTGCTGTTAGCAAGCACCTATCAAGGCCGGCACGGCAGACGATGGGGTGGGTGGCCAGGCCCAAGCCTGGTCAGCTTTGTCTCCCAAGTGGTGATGTTTACACACTGCACCAGGTGCTCATATAAGGCTGAGTCGACCTAGGGGATAACCAGGACCCGTTCAGATAACTGTAAGTGGCGTTGGCCGCGAGCGGGAAACGAACTCGGGTCGCCGGCTTCGTAGCACAGCGTGCTAACCATTCCACTACACACAGACACGCTCGCACACAGATAGAGGCAGACAGACACACGCGTATGCACACACAAACAGGCAAACATACCGCACTGACGCACACACACACACACAGACAGATAGGGACACGGCGGCCTTACTCAAGGCAATGTGTGCCGCGTCAGCTGCTGGGAAGCCTCTCCTGGGCGTATTGATGACACACAGCCCCACGGAATTCAGGCGATTCTCCCTGCAGCACACACAGAGATAAAGACAAAGGTCCTCTGAACAACCTATTCATGACCGCTGATAAAAGTGCGATTGGCGAGCACCTATGAAGGTCAACACAGCACACGAGAATTATACGTGGCCTCCTTTGTCTACCAAAGTGGCGATATTTACACGCCGCGCTAGCTACTCATTTAAGGCCGAGTCTACCTAGGAGAGCACCAGGTCTGGTTCAGATAATCGTCACTGGTGTTGGCCGTGAGCGGTAATCGAATTCGGGTCGCCGATTTCGTGGCACAGCGCACTAACCACTGTATTAGCGCTCAATACAGTCGCGCGCAGTCTCTCACACGCAACAACTGCCATTCGCCACGAAGTGGCGGTGACGTCACCACGACGCTTGTGCCAGGCTATGTGCACGTTGAGGCCACGTGAAGTGTCGAACGCCCGCTGGCAGGAGGTGACGGGACAGACCCAGGTGCCACGGGTCGACTGACTGAGGTGACTGGCTGGTGCCTCCTACTGTGCTAGCTTGCTGGGCTTTAGCCACCCGGCGCTCCGCTTGTTGTTGTGAGCGTCTCTCCTCTGCCCTCCGTTGTCGTTGGAGGGCGACTGTCTCCAACTGCCCAGTAGTGTCATTCACGAGCCTCCTCCACAGAAGCCGATCTTGACACCGCTGGTACCAGTCATCGGCAAGTCAACTCAGCTCCACATTCTCCTGTACCACCTCACTCCATCTCTTCTCTAGCCCGTGCCGCGCCCGTTTAGCCCCCTCCATCCGACCGAACAACAGTTGTGGAATGCGGTAGCTGGGCATGCAGCGTTGCCTGCCGGAGCTCACCGATGGGACTTTTGCTAGAATTCCCTACACCTCTGCTGTAGCAGACAGATAGAAAATATGGCATCTGTGCAGGTTCGCCCTTTCCTGAAACCGCATTGGGGCTCCGCAAGCCTCTCCTCAGCGTGCCTGGCAAGGCGATGTTGAATAATCCTTGCCAGAACCTTTCCCGGCACACTGAGGAGTGAGATGCCCCTGTAGTTGTTAGTCTTCTTAAAGAGGGGGACCACCAGGCGTCAGGAGCACCCCGAAACCGTAGAACCTCTGCAAAACCTGTCGCTCACGGATCACAGCGCCCGGTGATACGGACCGTACCTATCCAAGAGTAGTCCTGGCTAGGGGGTGGCCGACAGATCACGACACCCATTGGCGGCTCAGCGACGGCCGCTCATTGCGACGCTTTGGCTTCGCTTCTTCCCCTCTCGCCGTTGGTGTCGACCCGACTCACGTGGCGATGTGCAGCACGCGCTTGTAGCATCCGTGCAGCGAGGTCTCGGCCGCCGTGCGGTAGCGCGAGTTGTACCGCGGCCCCACCGTGTGCACGATGAAGCGTGCCGCCAGGCCGAAGGCTTTCGTCATCTTGGCCTCTCCGGTGCGGCAGCCTGCAAGCCCGGCCCGCCCGCGGAGAGACGCGGATATAGAGAGACACAGACAGACGCAGAGACAGAGAGAGAGAGACAGAAAGACGCAAACAAAGAGAGACATAGGGGAGAGACAGAAGGACAGAGACACAGAAGGACAGAGACGGAGACACAGACAGAGGGGCACACGTATGATTATTTCCAACTTCACGAGACGGAGGTGGGTCAAAAAAACACATTCCTGCGGAGGGAGCTAGAAGGAACACGTTGGGTTGCTCGGTCAATGGCCAGGGTCAACGGCGGCGTGGTGTATTCCGCAAATATATACATTGAGGGCGGGCACAAGCCGGCGTGAGTAGGTTAAACGTTGAGTTTTATAAGGGCACCACGGGGTGACCAGCCCCTCCCCACCCAGGCCCACCCTCCCCACCCAGCCCCACCCAGCCCCACCCTCCACTCCCCACCCAGCCCCACCCTCCCCACCCAGCCCCACCCTCCCCACCCAGCCCCTCCCCACCCTCCCCTCCCAACCCAGCCCCTCCCTCCCCACCGAGCCCCTCCCTGCACGATGGACAGACACAATAATCCCCTATGAGCTGGTGTAACTAGGAGGTTCCTACCAGTATAAAACCCACAAGGCTTGTTGATACACTTGCAATGCTCCCTGGAATTCCGTGTTAAAATAAAGCCTCGCCGCTTCGGTGATCGCGAGCCCTCAGAAGTGTCTGCCAGAGTGAGCAAAATAGTTTATCGTGACAGTTCAATGTTAGTTTATTAAGGCTGTCTGCCACGTGCTAATTGATTGAATGTGACATTTCCGCCGCCGACTAAACCGCCCGGAACGATCCCAGAGTTTATGTTCGAGACAGCGATCGTCTCCTCTTACTTCCTATTATGTAATACTAGCTTTACTACCCGGCTTCGCCCGGGACTTGGATTCACCACGCCCGGCCGCCTTTGTCTCCCCAGTGGCGATGTTCACACACCACACCATTTACTCGTTTGAGGCTGAGTCGACCTAGGGGAGGCCCAGGAGCAGTTGAAATAATCGTCACCGGTGGTGGCCGTGAGCGGGAATCGAACTCGGGTCGCCGGGTTCGTAGCGCAGCGCACTAACCGCTACACTACAATGCGTTACGCTTCCACATGCGCGGGTCACGTGACAGATTTGACGTCACAGCTCACTTGCCGTGCAAAAAACATATGCATTATTGAGCTCCCTCCCTAAAAAACTAAAACAAGTGTATTTTTTTTTATTTTTGCATGATGTACAGTCTGGAAAGTACCCACATGGCAAATTTCCAGTTTGTTGAATGTCGGGAAGTACGCTAAACATTTTGAACAGACACACATAGTTTGCCTTGTATATATATGGAGATACAAAAAATAACTCGACAAGTTCATTAAAGGACCGTCCTTCATAACACATCAAGAAGGGGCCATTGGCCAATGAGACAGTTTTACAATTTAAGGTCACAGCGCTGTGTACACCGCAAGGCGGCACACAGGCACTGCTAGGCAAGCGGGAACAAGCGGATGGACTGCGGGGCATAACCGTGATGGCACGACGGCGTAGGGTTTTCACGGTCCGTGATTGAACACAGAAGGAAGCGAGGGATTGTGGGTAGAGGACGGGGTAAGTCAGGTGGCGGGGGCTTGCACTTGGTGCCCGCCTCCAAAAGCCTGCTCTGCGCACGTTCCGTGGCCCTGGGGGAATATCCTAAAAAGAATTAATACGAAGAGACCTGTGGACGGCGGCGCTGATGAAGACAAAACTCAATGAAGAATGCCATTTCAAGAAACATGACCAATAGGCTTACAGTGATGACGTCACCTTCACTCTATTTAAGATCGAAACAGGAAGACTTGGAGACAATTCAGGCGAATTGCCTGATGAAGCTGGTTGTATGTAATCACCGGCGAAAAGTCTAACTCTAAATGTATATGTAGTGGGTTTACTATCCAACACACAGCTGTGCTGAAGTAGTAACGAATTGGCACGTTTTGTTTGCGTGAAAAACCTTACTAATTGGCTGTGTCAGGTGGTGGCGGATTTAACGACACCTTTATATTTTTACGCAAACTAACCCGAAAAAACCTTTATTATCAAAAATATATATACAACTTATTTTAAGGCAAGTGTTGTTGACGGGTCTTGATTTTCCTTGTTCCTTGTGCATCACTGGCAGCGTAGCATCACCAAACAACTTGTTGAATGGTGTAGTGAAAACGTCGCTTGTGCAGACAGCCGATGTGCGCACAGAATAAAGTTTTAAATCGGCGTGCATCACCTGTCATGACATACAAATTAAAAACACGGGACCCAACAAATCGAAATGGAACAAAAAAACTAAAAAGTACCCCAAGACGCATGGAGATAAAAACATGCTTGGCATTACAGCGAGCGACTGCAAGAGGATGAAGCGACGACGCGCTGGTCGCAGATACCACACGGAACTCGTAATTTGTGTTCCAGGTCAGATCTTGCGGGTACCATGTCAACTGGACCTGTGCACACCCTCCGTCGCCAGCCTGAGACGGCCAAAAACAAAATCAAGTTGTCACCTGGACGAATGTGGCAATTTATTTTGTCTTTGAGGAAGCCGGTTATTTTCAAAAACCAAGCAAAACAATTACAATTGCTTTTCAACACACCGCTTGATTTGTTTGGCTGTGTCAGGGGCATAGTTCTCATTGACATCTCCTGCAGGCTCTAAACCAATCAAATAAACCTAAATTATAATATTGGCTCTGGAAGCCTCAGTATGAAATGACACGCGCTGCTAGCAATGGCGTGACACCCGTGATAGTAGCAATATAATATCAAACTTGTTACACGCCGCAAAGTATTCGCTCAACTCCTCTTGACGCGTATGGTTTGGTGTCCTTTCCCCGCACCTCCGATGAGCAAGGTTGTATACGTACGGTGCGAAAGAGGTTCAACATATCTTCTTGGTTCTTTCGGTAAAGTAACGTAGAATGGAAACAATACAAATAATAAAATAAAACATAATAAAATAATATAATATAATAAAATAATATTATAATATTAAACAATAAAATTAAATACTATAATATAATAAAATATTATTTTTATTGTTTCCCTTCTACGTGACTTTACCGAAAGAACCAAGAAGATGAATCCCTGAAGTCACGAAAGCTTTAAATCTAGGTTCAACATACGTACAGAACAACGAAAAGAGGCGTGAGGAACCACAAAGCAGGAAGGCAGCACATCCCCTCCCGTAAGCTCTGCGGCTCTCTATATATTAAGGTGTTTCGGCCAAGTATTGAGTGTTTGCATGCAGGAGGAAACCGGAGCACCCACTGAAAATCCATGCGTGCAAGGAGGCAACACTCAATCCTTGTACAGATGGCACAGGTGGCGTGCACATTTTTGCCGCACCGCCTTCTCCTGGTGATCCAGGGTACGGCTCCTCCTCAAGATCCACGGGAAGAAAGTTTCTGTGTGTGAGCCACCAAAATACTAGTTTTATTTTACCAGGTAAGGCCCCTTCAGATATATAGCTCTTCAGAAGCCACCTGGCCACAAATGAGCGCCCAACGAAGTGGCTTATCCCGTGGAAATTTATAGCAGCCAAACACTCTAGACACATGACGTTGAATCTGAATGTGGAGCAAAAAAACCAGAGGAACCGGAGAAAACAACGACACGACCACGGGGGAGAACATGCAAACTCCAAATATGGGTCAGGATCGAACCCCCAATCTCCTGTATACCAGGCGAGCTAGTTAACACCTCGCCACCGTGGCGCCCCTAACCCTTGCAGTTGCCGCCACAGTGATGGATTACAGGCCCCGTCCGTAGCAGCCGCGAGTTTTAAACACGCGACATTTTAAACGTACGGCATCGAACGCACGTATCGGGCATAACAAGCAGCCAGAGGGCATGACAACTGGACAAACACGCCCATTGGGGGGGGGGGGGGGGGGGGGGTAATGAGCAAAATAGCCGAAACTGAGATCGCGTGCATGCGTGAGCGAGAGGGATCGAGACGGCACGGAACCACGAGCGGTGGGTGAACACGCGGGCGAGCGTGTTAGCCAGCGGAGCGGCTCCGGTGATGTTGTTGCCCGGTGCCTTGGCAGTGAGGGAGTGGGTGGGGGGGGGGGGCACGGTGTTCAGCCAGCGTGGTGAAGGGGGTGGTGGGGGCGTGCTGTTTAACCGGCTATGCTCGTAATGACCAAGGTTTTGTCGTCAGGCTGGCGCTACTTAGACTCAGGAACCGATGCAAAAATCACTGTGGTTTTGTGGGAATGTATTTCTCTTATTTTGCGTGTTTATTATTACAATTTGTAAATAATTATCTTTAATTTAATGCACAAATGGTGAATTATTTATACTGTTCAGAGAGAATAATGCATTCATACAAATGTTCCACTTCAACCATTCATCTCTCTCTCTATGCATATTTTATCCAGAGCTGCTTTTTTCAACCAATTTTAGTTAAATTGTGCTGTCTGCATTACATCAACAACGGATGTGGCCAGTCCCAACCCCTTGAAGATAGGTGCATCAACCCACGTTAAAGAACAGCCCACAGAAGCATATATCACAGAACTACCCACTGTTATTATTGTTATAAGCTTGCTTATCCCAGGGAAAGCGTCGCCAAGGCTCTGGACTCTCTTTAGGAGGGTTCCTGCTAAGTTTTCGCAGTAGGTGGCGATGATCGCGATGTTATATCCACATTGGGCCAACTGCTGTGTCATTTTGCAAGTTCGGACCGCGACGCCGACACAAAAGGGAGCCCTCTCTCTTCACTCTTGCGAATGACGCCACGGGATCTTTGAACGTCCACTCTAAAGCAGATCGCAGCGTATTTTAAGGGCAAAAAAAAAAAAGGCGGAGCAGCCGCTGGTTTCAAAACCACGAAGCCTCTGCAACAACGTCCGTGCATTGGCTAGCCGAGCTGCATGGGCATCGAACATAGGCATTGCAAGGTCGCACTCATGACACACAAAGTGCTTCCCACAAATGAACCACGATACCTTGCTGA